AGTGGGTGGTGGATGGATAATGGATATGGTGTGGTGGATGGTGATGGGAGTACAATGGATTGAATGGTCGCGGTGGTGTGGGATGGATGGATGGGATAATGGAGATGTGGGTGGGTGGATGTGATGGATGGATAAATGGATGAGTGGTGGGTGGATGGATGGCAGGCTTCCATTGCCTTGCAGCCTAAGGCGAGCCACCATATCTACGTTAACCGTGGACATAGCCAACAAGGAAATGTCATGCATAGACATCAAGCCACTGGTAGGTCCCAGACCTTGAGAGTCAAGGAAGCAGGCCCTAAGGAAGGGGCTGGCTGAGCCCTTGTTTGGGATCTGGCAATGGGGGTGATCCTAGCTCAGTCACCCGGTCGTGCCCCTCCCGCGTCACCATCCCCAAGGGCGACCCCTCACCACTCTGTCCTCGGAGCAAGTGCCTGTTCCTTGTTGGTCATCCCAGAATGCATCCGGGCGGCTCAGGTAACAGCACTTCTGGATGCTCCAAGAGAATCAAAGTCAACACACCTGCACACACAAAGCCGTACACGAATATTCATAGCCGCAGGGTCGCGTTAGCTAAAAAGCAGAAACGACCTGGGTGCCCGACAGATGGATGGATAAACACACGTGTTCCATCCACACACTGCGGTGTCACTCAGCCACGAAAAGGGACGAGGCTCTGACACAGGCGTTGGGTGGACCTTGAGGACATTGAGCTCAGCGAGAGACGCCAGACTCGGAAGGACACACAGTGTGTGACTCCGTTTACATGAAACGTCCGGAACAGGCAGACCCCCAGGGACGGGACGTGGACTCGTGGTCACCCGGGGCTGGGGGAGGGGGTGGGGAGTGACTGCCGATGGGGACAAGGCTTCCTTTTGGGGTGATGGAATGTTCTGGAACTAGACAGTGGTGACGTACACTCAAAACGTAACAGGAAAGGGACGAGCAGCCACTCTCATGAACTCAGCGCTCCCCACACGCCCGCCCGGCGCTGTTCTGGGAGGTTCTCTCCACGCTAGCGGTCGCTTACCTTGCGGGGCAGGCGCTCCCCGTTTTGCAGAGGCGTCACTGAGGCTGGGGAGCTTCCCTGCTCTTCCGGACAGACGGACAGACGGCCTGCGTGCTCCAAAGCCGGCTCTGCAGCCTCCAGCTCCGCCCGCCGCAGGGGCTTTGGGGCGCTGGCAGCTCCGGGAGAGGGTGGGGGGATGGCGGGGAGGGACCCGGCCCTCGTGGGGATCACGGGGCGCAGGCTGGCGCCCGCCGCTCCCAGCCCAGATGGGCCCGGGGAGGGCGGGCCGGCGTCACACGCCCGGGGAGAGCCGGTGGCCCTAATCCCAGGGAATGACACCCACCTGCGTGGAGCCGGGCGCGGCTGTGTTCAGATGCGCCCCAGCTGGCTTTTGCCGGGCGTGGCAAGACGTGCTCGCGCGGAAGGGAAGTTGTGCTTTGTCTTGGCACAAGCTGAACTGTGCAGAGCGGGTTTAGGCTCACCCCAAAATTGACCAGAAAGCACAGAAAGTCCTAAGACGCCCCCACTCCCCCGACACGCACGCTGCCAGCGGCCCCCACAGAGCTGGCTCTCGTTGCAGCCTGTGGAGCCGCAGGGATGTGTCCCCGGGCGGCGACAGGACGGCGCGCTCCTGGCACTGCGCAGTCCCCGGGTTTGGCGAGATGCGAGGTGACAGGGACCCACCGTTATGGGGCCGAACAGAGAAGCTCCGCCGCCCTGAAAATGCCCTGTGCCCAGCCTGTCCCTCCCTCCCTTCCTCCCCCACACCCGATGGTTCTGCTGTCTCCGCAGTTGTGCCTTTTCCAGAATGTTCTGTAGCTGGAATCATACAGCATGCAGCCTGTCCACACTGGCTTCTTTCACTCAGCAATATGCATTTAAGTTTCCTTCATGTCTTTCTGTGGCTTGAGGGCTCATTTCTTTTATTAATTTAATTGTTTTTAGTGATGGGGTCTGGCCATGTTGCCCAGGCTGGTCTCAAAACTCCTGGGCTCGGCCGGGCGCGGTGGCTCGCGCCTGTAATCCTAGCACTCGGGGAGGCCGAGGCGGGCGGATTGCTCGAGGTCAGGAGTTCGAAAGCAACTTGAGCAAGAGCGAGACCCCGTCTCTACTAAAAATAGAAATTAACTGGCCAACTAATATATATGAAAAATGACCGGCATGTGGCATGCTGAGCCGCTCGGGAGGCTGAGGAGGAGATGCTTGAGCCCAGGAGTTTGAGGTTGCTGTGAGCTAGGCTGGCGCCACGCACTCACTCTAGCCTGGGCAACAAAGTGAGACTGTCTCAAAAAAAAAAAAAAAGAAAGAAGAAAGAAAGAACTCCTGGGCTCAAGCCATCCTCCCAGCTCGGCCTCCCAGGCTGGGACCATGCCCAGCGATAGCTCGTTTCTTTTTAGAGCCAGACACTGTCGCTCTGACTGGACGTAGCACCGCTTGTTCATCCATTTACACTGCCGGCTGGTGCCAAATTTTCAAGTGCCAAAAGTCCCCTGGTCCTGGGGCTCTTAGACCTTACGGTACGGCTCTGAGGGTGCCGCACACCCCAGTTTGAGAAGCATGTCTCTAAGGCGGGGCTCACTCCAAATCTGTCTGTTTTTCCCGTTGCGTCTATTTATTCTTCATTCATTCATTCATTCATTCTTCTCCCATGCCTTCCGTGCGCCAGGCACTGTGCTGGGCCTTACAGGTTAGCGCTGGCCCCCGAGAAGCCACTAAGAGGAAGCTGGGCGCCGCGGGGAATGTGGCCGTGCCCGACGGCTGGGCAGGCTCTCGGGGCTTGCGCTCCGTGGGGCCAGCTGTGGCTGCCGGGTGTCCCAGCCCTCTGGGTCACGGACTCGGGATCCAGGCCCCACGCAGCTGCCGAAGCCCTCCCGTGCGTGCCAGACCTCTCCCCGAGGAGGGGTCCCTGGGTCTGGGCTCTGAGTGGCCCTCACTGACCGGGGCCCGCGTCCCTGTCCCCCTTCTCTGCAGTCCACGCTCATTTCCATCGGTTGCAACCTGGACAAAAAGATCATCGTTCAGAAGTAAGTGTGTCGATACCGGGGCGGGGCGGGGGGACCCAGGCGGGGGTGTGCATGGGGCGAGATTGGCCACAAGGTGACGATTGCTCAAGTGGGGTGACACGACATCATTCTTTGCACTTTTGCATAAGTGACATATTTGTGTAATAAGAAGTTCAATAATTACCCAGGCACAGTGGCTCACGCCTGTAATCCCAGCGACTTGGGAGGCCGAGGCGGGAGGATCGCTTGAGGCCAGGAGTTCGAGACCACCCTGGGCAACATAGCAAGACCCCCCCCCCCATCTTTACAAAAATTTTTTAAAAAATTAGCCAGGCTTGGTGGAGCTTTAGATAAATAAAAAATAAAGAGAAAGGAGATTCTGACACAGGGTGACACATGGATGATCCTTGAGCACATCGTGCTCAGTGAGAGACGCCGGACACAGAAGGACACGTCCCGTGTGGTTCCACTCCCAGGAGGTCCCTGGAGGCGTCAGAGCCACAGAGCCAGGAAGCAGGGTGGTGGGTGCCAGGGGCTGGGGTGGGGCTGGGGAGTGGGTGTTTTCATGGGGACAGAGCGTCAGCTTGGGAAGACGAGAAAGTTCTGGAAGTGGCGGGTGCTGACGGCTGCACAGCGCTGTGAGTGAGGCCATGCCGCTGAGCTGTGCGCTTAGAAATGGTTAAGAGGGTAAATGGTGCGGCCAACTGGGGAAGGAATAGTTAAGATGATCGATTTTTTGTTACGTGCATTTTAACGCAATTAGGAAGTAAATTAAGAAAAAAAAGCCAGACCAGCTACACCGCGGTGGCGGTGGGTCAGGGCTGTTCCCGCCCCACCCGGCCCCTGCCGGCCTTGGGGTCTCTCGCCTCTCCACTCTTTGCTCATTTGACAAGCACGGGTGTCCCCACTTCGCGGCCAGCGCGTGGCCGCCTGGCTCCTGGCGGGGCGGGCAGCGTCTCACCGTGGTCTCGCGTTTCAGCAAAGTCTCCGCCTGCTCCATGGGCATCCTGGACTCCATGGTCCTTCAGGACAACTACAACTACATCGTCGAGAAGTAAGCCAGGGTGCCCCTCCACCCCCGTCCCTGCCCTGGTCCCCGTGGTGACCGTCTGACCCCACACACACACCAAGGACAAATTAGGAATTTAAAAAAAAAAAAAAAATCGTGTCTGGCCAGGAGAGAGTCTGTGCACGTGCCATCGTGCCAGGTGCCAAAGTGCCACCATTGTGACACCCCCGGCCTGCAGCCGGCTCACCGGGCCAGACGGGCGGGCCTGGGCGGTCCCAGGTCCTCCTTGGGGCAAAGCCGGGTCCCCCTTTGCGCTAGCACGGGGGGCCCCTCTCCACACTGGTGCACCCCCCCCCGTGTGTTTTGTAACACACGCCCCCCTCCTCCGCCCCAAATCACCCTTCCGGAGCCGAGCCCCAAACTGCTGCTTCTGGGCTTGCCGGGGATTGTCTGGTCCACGCCCGCCGCCCTAGCCACGCGCCTTCCGCCCTGGGGTACAAAGGACGGAAGTCAATGGCTCGCAGTGCGGGAGGCTGGGAAGTCCAAGGTCAAGGCCGATGTGGGGTCCGGCGGCGTCTGCTCTCTGCTTGACGGATGGCGCCTTCTCGTTGTGTCCTTGCTTGGCACAGGGGGCGGGGGGAGCACGCCTCCCCGCCCACGCCTCTTTTCTAAGGACATTAATCCCATTGATGAGGGCGCCACCCTCCCGGCCCCACCACCTCCCAACACTGGGGACTGGGTTTCAACAGAGGAATTTGGGGGCGACGCAGACATTCAGACCACAGCAGAGGTGTGTCAGTGATGGTTCGTCGGAGAAAAGGAGCCACCAAGGCTGGGTGCAGTGGCTCACTCCTGTAATCCCAGCACTCTGGGAGGCCGAGGCGGGAGGATTGCTCGAGGTCAGGAGTTGGAGACCAGCCTGAGCAAGAGCGAGACCCCGTCTCTACTATAAATAGAAAGAAATTAATTGGCCAACTAATATATATATAGAAAAAATTAGCCGGGCACGGTGGCGCATGCCTGTAGTCCCAGCTACTCGGGAGGCTGAGGCAGAAGGATCACTCGAGCCCAGGAGTTTGAGGTTGCTGTGAGCTAGGCTGACGCCACAGCACTCACTCTAGCCTGGACAACAAAGCAAGACTCTGTCTCAAAAAAAAAAAAAAGAAAAAAGAAAAAAGAAAACAGAAACAAAACCCTTCGCAGAAACATCCAAATCACGTTTGCCCAAAACGTCTGGCCCAGCCCAGTTGACACCTAAAAATTACCCAAAACGGGATTCTGGTGTCACTTGGACCCTGAATCCTCAGGTGCCACCTCTCCTCACTCTGGAGAAGGACCCCCACTGGCAGAGGGGAAACTGAGGCTGAGAAAGTTCTGGCTGTCTGGGCGGGAGCTCACACCCCACCCCCCATCTCTGCTTCCTGTTCTCTCGAAGGGAATTCTACGACCTCAGTTTCCAGGGGAATAAGTCCACCAAGAACCAGGTGGTGCACTACCCCTACGACCGCCTGGGCTGTCCTCGCCTGGTCTACCACGACACGCCCTGGCGGCCCGTGATCGAGCTGTGAGTCCCCGTCCCTGTCCCCGTGACCTCATTTAACCACCGTGACCTTTTTAACACGTTGACTGCCACGCTAGAAGAAAAATTTGTTTCCCTGGGGCCACGAAACAAAACGATCCTTTCTAATTTGTTATATTTTATACATCAACGAGTATGATGTTCACCAACCAGCCCCGGGCCCAACACTAAGCCTGAGTTACATACAACTCACGTGGCCATCTCTGTGTGGAAGGCCCCATCTCCAAGTACAGTCACACGGGGGTGTCGCAGAGCGCAGTCCAGGCTACTGTGTTGCTTGTGGCACCGAGACAGAATATGCATCATTCAACAAAAACTGATGGTTTAAAAAAAAAAAAAAAAAACCACCCGGATTAACAGCCGTAAATGTAGGCTTTTTGAATATTTTCAGACGTCATTCGGGAACGCAGCAGGGGGGAGGCGACGGGTCTTGTTGGCTCGTTAGCTTATTCACGAATATGTGCGATATTATGGGGTTGCGAAACATGACATCGGTTTCCTCCCACTTCTGGTCACGTGGCCCCTTCTTGGAGAGAACTTTGGTTTCCACCCTGTGGAAAATACCCAGTGCCGGCTGCCACCCCCGACCCTTCCCCCCGGCGCTGTCCCCACCTCTGTCCCCACCTCTCCGCACGCTGTGGTCTCCGCCAGCTGAGGCCAGGGGGTCCCTTGCTTCGCTCTCCGCCGCCTCCCAGCCCCGGGATGGCGTGGTGACGCCCCAGCCCCAGCCCCGAGGCCACGCCCTGTGCCCGTGTCCTAGGTGGCAAGATGGTCATTTCGAGGAGGTGGTGAAAGCCGACTACGTGCTGCGGGAGGTGAACGGGCTGTTCACGTACTCGTACACCCTGTCGGTCAAGCAGGCGGGGTGCTATTACCAGCCGCAGAACTGGACCACCATCATCAAAGAGATGGGCGAGCCCACCTGGGACAGAGAGGTAGCGTTGTCCCCTCGGTTATTTCCGAAAGAATCGGGAGCTCCCTGGGGGGACGGGAGAGCACGCTAGGACGCCGCAAGGCAGTGGGGACGTTTGCCAATGACAGGCAGAAGCCTGACGCCGTCCAAACTCCTGGCACTACAGGACCCACGGACGTTCCCGGTCTGCTCCGCCCAGTGAGCCTCTCTCTTTTTTTTATTGTCACCCAGGCTGGAGTGCCGTGGCGTCAGCCTAGCTCACAGCCACCACAAACTCCGGGGCTCAAGCGATCCTCCTGCCTCAGCCTCCCAAGTAGCTGGGACTATGCATGCGCCACCATGCCCAGCTAATTTTTTTTTATATGTGTTTTTTTAGTTGGCCAATTAATTTCTATTTTTAGTAGAGACGGGGTCTCGCTCTTGCTCAGGCTGGTCTCGAACTCCTGACCTTGAGCAATCCGCCCACCTCGGCCTCCCAGAGTGCTAGGAGCCACCGCGCCCGGCCCCAGCTAGTTTTTCCTATTTTTTGGTAGAGATGCGGGGGGTGGGGGGGGGTCTCACTATCTTGCCCAAGCTGGTCTCGAACTCCTGAACTGAAGTGGGATTACAGGCCTGAGCCACCTCTCCCGGCCTCTTTGATGGTTTTTTAAAAGACAAAGTTACATGTTTGTCATCATTTTTGTGTTATTTCCCACTGTGCTATTGTGCGAATTCTTATTGGCCGTCTTGTTCACGGTTGCATGTGAGTGTGCATTTAAGAGACTGTGCTGTCACGACTTTTCCCGTCAGCCCCGGTGAGTGGGTGACATGCGGGTTTTCCGTCAGGTGAGAGCCACAAGCCTGCATTTTCAGCACAGTTATCGGCTGGGACATAGCTGCCTGGAGCCATGAGGTGGAGGTGGCTTTGCCCACACAAAAGAGCCACGAGCCTAAGCTCTGTCTCCTTTTTTTATTTCACATGGTCTTTATGTGCCCCAGATTTTATTTTCTTCCAAAGGATTTAAAAATTTTTAATTGTGAGCCAGGTGCGGTGGTGGGCACCTGTAGTCCCGGGAGGCAACCCGGGAGGCTGAGGTGGGAGGATCGCTGGAGCCCAGGAGTTGGAGGCTGCAGTGAGCTGTGACGATGCCACTGCACTGCAGCCTGGGCGACACAGGGAGATTGTCTCAAAAACACACCCATGCTGTTGGCAGCGCCTGACTCACCCCCTGGCGGGGCGGGGCCTGGGCAGCCACAGCCCCCGCTGCAGGGTCACGAAGCTGCCCACACCTGGCCCTGGGCTTCCCCGTCGGGTGAGGAGTGGGGTGGGCCAGGGCCCCCTCCCCATTCCCCGGGGCCAGTGGGCACAGCTCTGTTCTCCTCCCCAGAACTACGTGAGCTGCTTCGACGACGAAAACACCGTCCCCTTGCAGTGGCCAGAGATCCCGTACCAGATCTTGGGTGGCAGGACAGAGAACTCCATCGTTTTTGGCCCACGGAACGGCATCTACATCTTCTTCCTGGCCATTGTGGATCCGTACTACAGGTGAGGGGTCAGTCCCTCCCGACGGCAGAGGACGGCCGTCACTCCTGGGGCAGGTCACGCCTGCCTCCCTCCACTTGGGCAGGTCCTGCCTAAAGCCAGGCTCCCCCATCAGCTCAGACTGTCCCCAGGGGAGAGTGATGTTTTCAGTTCCGGGGGACGTTTGTTCCTTTGTTTTTTTTTTTTGTTTTTGAGACAGAGTCTCACTTTATTGTCCAGGCTAGAGTGAGTGCCGTGGCGTCAGCCTAGCTCACAGCAACCTCAAACTCCTGGGCTCAAGCGATCCTCCTGCCTCAGCCTCCCGAGTAGCTGGGACTACAGGCGTGCACCACCATGCCCGGCTAATTTTTTCTATATATTAGTTGGCCAATTAGTTTCTTTCTATTTATAGTAGAGACGGGGTCTCGCTCTTGCTCAGGCTGGTTTCGAACTCCCGACCTCGAGCAATCCGCCCGCCTCGGCCTCCCAGAGAGCTAGGATTACAGGTGTGAGCCACCGCGCCCGGCCTTGTTCCTTTGTTAAATAATTACTCAGTGCCAAGTCCCCGCCAGGTGCTGGGGGCCAGGGATGACCAGTGGCCCCGAGTCCCTACGCTTGTGGACCGGAGCCGCCCCCCATCTCCTGCCCCCCCAGGACCAGGCTGTGCCGATGTCCGTGGGCCACAGGGGTTTCAGACTGGCTGGCGGGAGCCGGCTGGTGAACACGCAGGCATTTGCAAGGCAGGCAGCCTCGGGGGCAGAGAGGATTCTGAAGCCACGCCTGGCCACGCCACGTGGGCCAACGTGTTCTGTGGGGGGCGGGACACGGGACGGCACCCTTTCCCATGTCATCACCCCTGCATGAAATCATTGTCCGCCATCGCCCGTCCCCTCCAGATGGATGAAAGCCCCCCCCACCCAGCACTTGGAGGCCCCTCCCTTCCCTAACGGCCCCAGACTAAGGGACCAGCTCTGGGACGGCCACCGGGGACGGCACCGAGTGGGGTGGGGACGTCCGGGGGGGGACCGCGAGGATCACCCCCTCTGGCCCCCTGCAGCGCCCCTCCGGGGGGGTTCAGTTTGCCCCTTCCACCACCTTCACAGCGGGCATAGTGGGAGGCATGGGACCCTGGGGACAGCTGCCAACACACACAGAGAGGACGCAGACTCAGAAGCGATGAAAGGCGGCGTGGATGTAAGGGAACTGGGTGCGCCTGCTCACTGCTGCCAGGCCCGGGTCTCCCACCTGTGGGCCTCTACCCCTGTGCGGGGACAACAGGCGAGGGCCCCGAGGCCGTGCCCACAGCGTCTCCTGCCCGCCCCGCAGCTACTGTCACCTGCAGACCATGTTCAGCATCTACGTGCACGGGGCCTACCCGCCGCTCAGCGTGAACCCCGGCTTCACCATGGTCATGCTCATGGGCGGCATCATGCTGGCCCTGTGGCTGGCCTACGTGATCCCCAAGCTGCTGAGCTCCAACCAGGGCCAGAGGATCAAGATGTTCGGGGCCAGGCTGTGCTGGAGGTGCAAAAGGTTGTGCAGGTGCCACTGGCTAAGGTCCCCCAAGCTGGCACCGAAGTAGAGCAGGAAGTCCCCTGGGAAGCCGCCTCACTCCCCGGGAAGCCGGCGCCGATCCCTGAGCCCGTCGGCCGGGCCGGGCCGTTGTCTTCAAATAAACTGCGATGTTGTGAAGCAGCCAGCAGTGTGGGTTATTTTTGTTTTGTTTTTCCCTAATTTTAAACAATAGGAATATATTTTTTCAAGAGACAGGGTCTCGCTCTGTCGCCCAGGCTGGAGTGCAGTGGCGTCATCTCAGCTCACTGCAGCCTCCAACTCCTGGCCTCGAGAGATCCTCCCGCCTCAGCCTCCCAAATAGCTGGGACCACAGGCGCGCTCGGGGCTTTGCAGGCCCGGGGAGGAAGGGGTCAGCCAAGGGCTTGCGACTTTCTGGAGATGGCGTCAGGGCGCGGGGTGCCCTGCAAGTGCGCCCTGACGTGCCAACCACGGCCCCTGCCCGGGTCAAAGCCCCACCTGCCTCCTTTCGGCGTGGACAACGTCTACACGATTCTGCAGAAGCAGAGAGAGATACACGCACACACACGTATGGACGGTATGCATGCATATTAGATACATGTTTATGTATGCATGCAGCATATACAAGTGCATACACATGTATACATACGTATCGATAGTATGTGTTCATGTATGTAATATATACGGCCCATGTGAATTTTCTGTTGGGGGGAGCCCGAATCCAAGGCCACATGGGACACCCATCTCATTCTAAGTGAAAACGTGGGCGGTCCCCCCTCCCATTCCTCTGAAGTTAAACAAATATATACTCTACTGTCATCTGGAATTGCCAACGGTCTCAATGTCATCGAGGCCCCCACTGCCATATCCAAAGCAGCGACTGGTTCCGCGGGTCTCCCTAGCGGAGCCGCCACTCGGAGGCCCGTCCTGTCCTTCCCGCCCGACGTGGCCACCCAGGGCCCTGCGTGCACTGGGAGGAAGGGGAGCAGGGCCAGAGGAGTCCTGCCTGGCCAGCCGCTGCTAGGCCACCGCCCCGAGGTCACCCAGGCCGGCGGGAGCCCCGGACTCGTCTCCTGACCCCCCTTAGAGCGGGGTGCAGAGCGGCCCGTCCTTAGGACTGGGCCGTTTCTGCCATACACTCTTCTCCCTTCCTGGTTCACCTCATCTAAGCCCCGAAAGTGCCCCGTCTGTGACCGTTCCCACGTCTCCCTGCCTTTCTTAGGGGTTCTGGTTTGTGTTGTTTGCAGGTTCCTGCTGGAGTCCTTGGCAGGCATCTGCTGTGACCCCCAGGTGCGTTTTGTCACAGAAAAGCGACCCCAGCCCCTCGCCCCCGCCACGCCCTTTGCCAGGGCCTCCCTGCACGCGGGGCCCTTGGTCTTCCTTCCGAAGACCCCTGTCGGCTCCGGAGGCCTCTGTGAGGCCGGGCCAGCCTCGCCCGCCCTCGGGCCACAGGGCAAGGGGACAGGCGCGCCCACCCACCAGGCCCCAGCGCACACGCAGCTGAGATCAAACGCGCTTTAATGGGGGGCAGCGCCCAGGTCCTGCCTGGGCCCCGGGGGGGCGGTGCTGGCGGGGCCCGCGGGCTGCTTGCCCTTCCCGCCCGGCCTGCCCTTCTTGGAGGCCGAGGAGCCGGCCTTCCTCTTGCCGGGCAGGGCGGGGGCGGAGGCGTCCACCGCGGGGGGCCCCGGGCGGGGCGGCGGCTCGTCGTCCAGCGCCCTGAAGTTGAAGAAGCAGTCCACGTTGGACACGGTGTCCAGGATCTCGGGGACGCTGTAGTCGAAGGACAGCAGCTCGTCCGGCAGGTGCAGCGAGCGGATGTCGCTGGCCGAGTCGTCGCCCCCGCCCCCGCTGTCCGGCAGGGCAGGCGCGGGCGCCTTGCGGGGCCCCCCCTCGGGCTCCGCGCCGCCCGGCAGGCAGTCGAAGAGCTTCATGGCGTCTTCCAGCAGCACCTTGTCCGGCAGCGCGAAGGCTCTGGCCGCCTCGGGGGCCTTGGCCTCGCCCCCGCCCGGCGCGGCCGCCTCCTGGGCCTCGGCCGCCTGGGGCTCGGGGCCGGGCGGGGCGGGCAGCTCCTTGGCGGGGAAGGCGGCCTCGGGCGCGGGGAACTGGCTCAGGCTGCCCCTGAGGTGGCCGTAGGCGCCGGGCGGCAGCGCGGGCTCGGCGGGCAGCGCGATGACCACGGGGGCCGGCTTGCTCTCCTTGGGGGGCGGCGGGGGCAGCTCCACAAAGGCGGGCGGGCCCCCGTCCCCCACGAAGCCCAGGGCCTCCGGGCCGGGCCCCTCGGGCGGGAAGTAGGGCAGGAGGTACTGGGCCCCGCCGGGCGCCGGCTGGTAGGGGGGGTACGGGGGTGGCGGGGGTGGCCCTGGGGCCTTGAGGTAGTGCTGGGGCTCCAGCAGGTAGCTGCCCGGCGAGGCGGGGCCCCCAGCCGGGACCCCCGCGGGCCCCACACCGCCCGCTGCCACCAGCTTGTACAGGGACGACTGGCCGAAGTCGGTGGTGGCCCACTCGATCCGGTAGATCCGAGGATCAAAGAAGCACCCGCAGGGGGCCATCTGGAACCCTGCAGGCCGGGCAGGGCCTGAGAGCCGCTCCTGGCACCCCAGCGGCCCGCGCCGCGGCCTGTCTGGGCGGCAGGGGACACGGCCTTGCCTTGGGGGCCTCTCTGGGAGACGTGGGCACGGCACTGCCCTGGGGGCCCATTTGGGGCAAAACAGACACATACGGTTCCAGGGGCCAGACTGGGGGTGCGGGACACAGGCCTTGCCCTCGGGGTCCCATCTAGGGATAGGCCAGGGGCAGGAGGGCCCCCCATGCTAACCCTCTCCCAGCTCCTCCCCAAGGGTGGGGGAGGCCCGTACCTGCAGGGGGGGCCGGAAACACCTCTTTCTCCGGGTTTGGGGGGTGGTACAGGGTCGAGGAGCCTGGGGACAAAGGTGCCCGGAGGGGGGACGGCTGCGGCCCTGAGGCTGGTGGCCGGGAGCCCGGGCCCTGACCCTGCGGGCACCCCACCCGCCCGACTCGTACCCACGGCGGGAGGCGGCTCGGCGCAGGCGGGCGCGGGCTGGCTGCCCGGCCCCTCGGCACCCTCCAGGCCCCGGGGCCCGAAACCTTCTTGGGGAGCCGTGGGTGCGTAGAAGGGCTTGGGGTGCTGCATGGGGAGGCGGGCGGCAGCGCCCGGCTGGAGGTCGGCAGGCGGCAGGAGCAGGCGGCCCACCCGGGGAACGGGCGCAGAGTCCCCAGGGTTCTGTTTGCCCCGTTACTCAGGGCGGCGGGTTCCAGGCCCGGCCCGCCCACTGGGCAGGGTTCCGGGTGGGGGTGGCCCAGGGGACAGACAGGGAGCCCACAGCAGGTGTCACCAACAGCAGGAGGACCCAGGGCCAGGCTGCCTTCTGCCTCCACCAGCAACGCCCAGCTAATAGCTTCAAGGCCACCTTCTCCAGGCAGGCCGCCCTGATCCGCACCCATGTGGGCGAGGCCACCCTGTCCACACACCTTCGTCCTGCTCAAGCCCCCCTGACCCCTGCCCCCGGGCACCTGCAGAACCCAGCCCGGGGCTCGCGAATGAGTGAGCAAAAGGCGAGGAACAGTCAGGGGACAGGGTGAGTGGGGGACAAGCTCCAGGGAGGGGCCGGGAAGGGGCAGCCTTGGTGTCACAGAAAGGCCTGGATTTTAAAAGAATAAAATTTATTGTCTTCTCTGTGCCCTGGGGGGCCCCTCGGAAGGCCCCCACCCCCGGCGCCCGCAGCTACTTGTACGCGTTGGCCTTGTGCTTTGGCAGGAAGACGAAGTTGGGGGGCACTGGCCCCAGGAGCATCTCGCTGGGGAGGGAGGGCGGGCAGGTCAGGGTCAGGCCTCGCCCAGGCACCCCAGCCCAGCCCATGGCAGCCCAGGGCCCGCCCCGCCCCGCCCCGCCCGGCACCTGATGCGGATCCAGTCCGCGGCCTTCTGGCTGGCCATGAGCGTCTCCAGGTGGTCCCGGCCCAGGTAGTAGGGCGGCCGCTCGTTGATCCTCTGCGGGAGCCGCTCCAGCAGGCCCACGGGCACGTACCTGGGGCAGGTCCAGGGACACGGTCGGGCCAGCCCCGGCCACACACACACACACACACACACACACACACCCCGCGGCCGCCCCGGCGCCCACCTGCACAGGAAGGACAGCCACTCGAGCAGGAAGCGCCGGGTCCTCTCCACGCCCTGCGTGTCCGAGCCCCAGTGCTCCAGGCCGTAGCTCGTGAAGTCACGCAGGATGTCCAGGCGCTCGGACGACGAGATGTCCCAGTGCCGCTGCTCTTTGATTTCCGTGAACAGCCAGGGCTTCAGCAGGGCGCCGCTGCGGGGCGGGCGCGTCAGCAGGCCCCGCCGAGAGCCGGGCCCACGCCGCCGCGCAGACGCCAGACCCACCGGCCTGAGCCTTTCGCTGCGGCCACCCGGCCTCCCGGGCCCAGGAGCTTCCACCCGCCAACGCTCCACCCGCCGCGAGGTTTCCCGTCCCCTCTGCCTCGACCAGCGACACCTCCTGACGCCTCTCCCGTTCCGGGACAAACAGCGCGACGGGGCAGGGGTGGGTGGGAGCGCGCGTTGCATGCGGGGACACCTGCTGCTGTGCACAGGCACAAGCCAGCCTCGGCGACCCCCCACTTACCGGGCAATCATGATCCCGGCGACGCCGGTCTGCATGGCGCGGTTGGCGTCCTCGTATGACAAGATGTCACCGTTTCCTGAGGGACAGAGGCAGTGGTCTCAGGGAGCCGCACGCGGGCAGGCGGGATGCTGGGGCTCCCTTCAGGAGTTTTTGCAAACCCAGCGATCCCTGGCAGGGCGGCAGGAAGGAGTCCCGGTCGGGGGTGGCCCGGGTGTTGGGGCGTCGGGCACCCACCGAACAGGGGCATGGGGCCGGCCGCCTTCACGCACTGCTCGATGTACTGCCAGTCGGCCAGCTTGGTGTAGCGCTGCTCCCGGGAGCGGCCGTGCAGCTGGGGGGCCCCAGGCGGGGAGGGAGGCGCAGAGAGGGGCAGAGAGAGAGAGACGGGGAGGGACAGGCTGAGAGACAGACGCAGAGACGCAGGCAGACGGAGACAGACACGGAGGGAGAGGCGAGAGGAAGAGGGAGGGACGGGAGGAGAGGGGCCGTTAGGAAGAGACGGGGGCGCCCCGAGGGCCCAGGCCCACGGCGCCCCGAGACCCACCGTGACGAGGGCGGCACCCCAGTCCCGCAGCTGGGGCAGCAGGCGGTGCGCCAGGTTCACGCGCTCCTGGACGCCCGTGCGGATCTTCACGGTCAGCGGCACGTCCAGCACCTGCGGGGCGGCGGGAGGGCGGGCGGTCGGCGTGGCCGGGCAGCCGGGGTGGCCGTGGGGCGGGGCCTGGCCGTACCTGGTTCATGCCGCGGACGATCTGCTGGAACTTGGCCGCGCGATTCATCAGGGCACAGCCGCCGCCCTGGGGGACACGAGAGGCTGGGCCGGCCCCGCATGTGCCCGGGCCCCGGACCCACCACCCGCCACGCCGCCTGCCCGCTCAGTGCCCTGACTGTCCCAAAGGGAAACGGAGGCACAAGTCCGTGGGGGGGGCAGCGCTGATCCCAGCCCCCACCCGCCCCACCCAGGCCGCACGTGCTCTGCACTCCAGGGGGAGCGGCGGCTACCTTCTTGTACACGAGGTCGATGGGGCAGCCCACGTTGACGTCCACGAAGTCCACCTCCACGGTGCGGTTCAGCAGCTCGGCGCACTTGGTCATGGTGTCGGGGAAGGCGCCCTCCAGCTGTGGCGGGCAGGCAGCCGGTGAGGGGCGGGTGCAAACCGCCCCCAGGGCCGTTCGTGGTCCCCTGGGGGGCCCCCCAGCCCAAGGCCGGCGGCCCTCGTTAGCCGCCGAGGCAGACCCCGAACCTGGCTCTGAGACGCAGCGGCCGGGCGCCCGGCAGGACTGACCTGGACGCCGAAGATGTCCTCACACTGGTGGCGTCTGAGCAGCGCCCACTCGGACGTCTGGCCCTGCAGGAGGTTGGTGCAGACGGCCATCTCCCCGCACGTCACGTCCGCCCCGAAGCGCTTGCAGATCCGCCGGAAGGGCAGGTTCCCGCACTGGGGCCGGACACACGCAGACGCGCGTACGGCGCGCAGGAGACATGCGTGTCGGCGCGCAGGCAGGGACCCGACACCCGCTCCAGCCCCAAGACCCAGCGGCGGAGACAGACGCTGAGCGCTGCCGACTGGCCACACCGCCACCCACCAGCCCACCAGCCCCGCCCGGGCCCTACCGTGGTGAGGGGCGCCAGGTACAGTTTACCGCCGAGGTCCAGCTGGAGAGAAAAACACGTGAGTGAAGCTCCGTCCTCCAACACAGCTTCCGACGCCTCTGGGGTCCCTTCTCCCCACAATCTAGGACATGCTCTACCCTGCCCGGACCAGCCTGGCCCCGTTCTACCTCTGGCCTCTGCACAGGCCAGTAGATATCTTTGTAAGGAATGTTCTTTTTCCTGTATTGTTCTCCACTGGAGAGCTCCTACTCAACCCTCAAAACCCCAGTCCCAATGCCCTCTGTTCCAGAAACGCTTCCATACTATCCCCATCTGCCCAGCCCTGATCCTCTGGGACTGACAGTGTATCTCCAGCTCTTCCTGGCCCCTGAGACTGGGCTCCTTGACGACGGGGCCCAGTGCAGAGCTCAGACAGGGGGCATCAACAGAGAGGTCCCCAAGGACACAGCCCCCGGGGAACACGCACCCGCTTCTTCTCACAGGGCCGCAGCCTGACCACGTCCTCGTCCGTCAGGGGTCCGCAGGTCCGCGCAGGGCTGTGGGGAGGGGTGGCGGCGCCGGGGTCTACAGGGGCCACCGGGGCCTCACAGTTGTTCTGCCCCGGAGCCCCCTCGGCCGCCGTGACCTGGGGGACGGCGGCAGCCGGCGGGGGGCCCCTGCTTAGCTGGCGCAGGACCTGCTCCGATCGCTCGAAGCGGACCGCGCGCTTGCGCAGCTGCTGCTGCAGGGCCTTGTCCAGGCCGTTGCGGACGGGCGGGCCGTGCGCCCAGCGGGCCGCCAGCTCCTCCTGCACCAGGTTCTGGCCCTCGGGCCCCAGGTGGGCCCCGGCGAAGCGGCAGGTCACGCCGTAGGGGCACCTGCCGAAGGTCTCGAACAGCACGCAGCGGGGGCCCAGGTCGGCGGGCTTGGCCTCCAGGTAGCGGCCCACGTCGTGCAGGAAACGGCAGCGGTCGCCGAAGAAGCACTTGGCCGCCGACTCCTGCGGGGGCAGAGGCAGCGAGGGAGGACGGAGAAGCTGCGGCAACCTGGATGGGAACCCTGGGTCGCCCTCCTGGCTGCGCGTCCCCGGGCCAGTCGGCAGCCTCGCCGTGCCGCGGTGTCTTCGTGACAAGCACGGTCGCAACCTTCACGTCGTGCAGCACAAGGAGGAAGACTGAATGGCGGCACGGAAACCTCAGACCCTGGGACTTTCTAACAATTGCGGCTGGTAGAAAATACCACCTGCTTGGCGCGTGCCTGTAGTCCCAGCTACGCGGGAGGCTGGGGCAGGAGGATCGCTTGAGCCCAGGAGTGTGAGGTTGCTGTGAGCGAGGCTGACGCCACGGCACTCACTCTAGCCCGGGCAACAGAGTGAGACTCTGTCTCAAAAAAAGAAAAGAAAAGAAAAGAAAAGACAAGACCAGACCACCTACTCCTACCTGTCCCAGCAGGGACACCTCAGTGGCCACGCTTACCTGGATCAGGGAGGGGCAGAGCCTGTTCTGGTCGTAGTGTGTGGGCTTCGTGTGGGGCCGGCCCTTGTTCTGGCCCCGGGCCCTCTTCTGAGCCGGCAGCAGCTCCCCGTGCTCAGCTGCCCCATCTGTCTGCCCATCCTGCGTCTGCCCATCCTCCAGGCGGATCCGCTTGGCCTCAGGCTCAGCCAGGTCATTGCCACCGGGGTCTCCTGTCTCAGTTTCCTGGCAAGGCTTCTCCTGCCCTTTGGCTTCTAGGAATTTGTGAAACTCCTCCTTGGTGGTGAGGTATCTGCCAATGCAAAGGAAGAGGAAAGGAGAGCTTGCCAGGGGTCCCTCCTCTGACCACAGAATGAATGCTGAGAAAAGGCGGCTGAGAACACTTGCCCCTGCTTAAATGCTTCTCCTGATGGGGATCTCACTACTTAGAACGGGCCAGCTCCCGGTTCAGGAGCAGTTCAAAGCCACAGGGAATAGCTGCTTTGTCCCTGGGCCCCCACTGCCCACAGTGTTGCGCTAAACTATCAGTTAATCAGGCACGAGATTCCTGCTCAGGTTAGGCTCAGGGAAACTACAAGTCCCAGCATGCCTTGCACCGGGGTACAAGACGCCACATTACCCAGAACGCCTTTCGGCCCTTCAAACACCGCAAGCCCCAGCATGCCCCGCAATATTCGCACCGGCCCCCCGCCCCCCGCCCCCCGCGCTGCGGTGGGAGGTACGCATGCGCTGTTTTGACAAAAGCGCACAAACTACAGCCCCCAGAATACACCGCGGGCCTCGCCTCAAACCCCGCCTGCACTACCACGTGTACTTAATCGCATCTGACAGCCCCCAACATGCATGAGTTCCGGCCCGCCGCTGACCACCCTGCCGGCAGAGGAACGGCCCGGACTGAAGAGCCAGCAAGTTTCCCGCCCTGAGTCACCAGCTAATCTCCCGGCATGCATCACTCGGGCCGCGCTACGGGTGCCCGGAAGGCCCCACGAGTTTCCCTACTGCCCGGCGACTCACTGAGGTTTAATAGGCGCAACGCCCCGTTCCGACGCGCTGGCTCCTGAGTCGCCGCCGCCACCACCACCACCATTCTCTGCTGGGGCCTCCAACGCTTCCTCCGCCATCGGCGCTTCTCACGCCCGCGCTGGAGTGTAGCGGGAAGACCTTCCGGGTCGTGCGTGTCTGCCCTGGCTGTGTTGCGGAAGTGCGCATGCTCGGGTCGCTCCGGTGGCGTCATCGTCGCGGGACTACGTCACAGGGGCGGAGTCTTCAGGGGGTGGGGCCTCCGGTGTCACATACTTGGCGGGCTCGCAAAGGTGGCAATGAACAAAACAGACAAAAATCAACACTTTTGGCCGGGCGCGGTGGCTCACGCCTGTAGTCCTAGCACTCTGGGAGGCCGAGGCGGGTGGACTGCTCGAGCTCAGGGGTTCGACACCAGCCTGAGCAAGAGCGAGACCCCGTCTCTACTATAAATAGAAAGAAATTAATTGGCCAACTAATATATATAGAAAAAATGAGCCGGGCATGGTGGCACATGCCTGTAGTCCCGGCTACTCGGGAGGCTGAGGCAGCAGGATTGCTTGAGACCAGGAGTTTGAGGTTGCTGTGAGCTAGGCTGACGCCAGGGCACTCACTCTAGCCTGGGCAACAAAGCGAAAAAAAAAAAAAAAAAAAAAAAGAGCCTGCATAGGAGTGGGGGACACAGACAAAAGTATAATAAATACATAAAGTATGCCATACGTGAGACGGTACTGTTGCAATTTTTGGGCGTTTGCAATTTTTCATAGGATGGCCAGGGAAGGCTTCATGGAGAAGGTGATGTTTGAGTATATTTGCAGGAATTGGGGGAAACAGTTATAGGACTATCAGAGGGAAAAGGGTTCCAGGTGGAGGGAACGGCCAGTGCAAATGTCCCAAGGCAGGAGGAAAAGTCCTGGCATTGGAAGTTTTACCATGGAGGAGGCCCCTGTGGCTGGAGCAGAGAGGTTAAAGGAGAGAGAGGGAGGCGGGCGGGGGAGCGAGGTGACAGGGCAGGTTGTGCGGGACCTGGTGACCTTTTAGGAGGACGTGGGCTTTCACCCTGAGTAAGGTGGGAGCCATGGAGGGCTGTGGGCAGAGGAAGGCATGATCTACTTACCATTTCTCACAGTCCCCACTATGCCCTGTTGTGCCCCTAAAGCCCCCGGTTCCCAGAGGAGACTTGATATGCACAGGGAGCTCCGGGCTCTGGACTCAGGTTGGTTTGAATCCCAGCGCCTATCATCCATGAACACTGGGCATCTCGTTTAACCTCCCTACGAGCCAGTCACCTCGTCCATAAAACGGAGCTGATCAAAGTATCCCCTTTAGAAGATAAGGATTCAATAAGTAACAATAAATTTTAAGCAGACACTGTTATTACATTAGTAATACGATGATTTTCCCTAATTACATTCAGGAACACAATCCCTGGGCAGATCAACTGATTTTCTTTTTAAGAGAGTCTCGCTCTGTCCCCCAGGCTGGAGTGCAGTGGCACGATCATAGCTCACTGCAGCCTCCAACACCTGGCTCAAGCAACCCAGTCTCAGCCTCCCAAGTAGCTGGGAGTACAGCCGAACACTGCCATGCCTGGCTAATTTTTAAAATTTTTTGTAGAGATGGGGTCTTGCTATGTTGCCCAGGTTAGTTTTGAACTCCTAGCTTCAAGCAATCCTCCCACCTTGGCCCTGAAGAATGCTGGGGTTACAGGTGTGAGCCACTGCATGGCGTAATCAATCTTTAACCTCCCCTTGCATTTCACTCGAAACTTGACAAAGCTTTTCCTGGGAAGGGAGACTGACACTGTGCTCTCCTCTTATAACAGATGGGGAAACTGAGGCCCCAAAAGGGAAGGGTTTTGCCCAAGGCCACAACAGGCACAGAACCAGCTTTTCATGGACCAGGGAGAAAGTGCAGGGGAGGGTTGGCAGTTTGGCCTCGGCTGCCCTCTGTAGGACAATCTGGGAATAAAGATGTCACAACCTGGGAGTCTAGAATTGGAAGAAGCCACAACGGTCTGAGCAAGACTTCTCGCCCAGCCAGGTTTGCCCACCTCCGTAGGTGGGAGCTCATGCCTCCCTCCCGGGGTGCCTGTCCCATTGTCCTCAGATCATCTCACAGGTACCCCAGACCCCTTTGGGGAGATATTTGGACAGGTGGGAGAAACAGGCGCACAGAGGGAATGTGGCCTCCTCTCTCTGGGCCTCAGCTTCCAAGGAGAGATCTGCTGGGGCTGCCTGGCTCTGCCCTGTGATGACCCCACCCCCTCTGTGTAAGGCAATCCCAGAAGGCTTCCTGTAGGAGGAGGACTGTGGCTGCCCATTGGTAACCATGATCACCATACAAAAATAACCATTCACCTCTATACATGAATCATGTATAATTGTTATAATTGTATAATATTAATCATTTCCCAGTAGCTAAGTGATTATTGAGCACTTGCTGTGTACCAGACCTCATTGTAAATGTTTTTCATGGACTGACTCATTTATCCCTTGCTCTGGTCTTGTGTTCATGGAGTAAGCATTCATCCCACGGGTGCAGAGGGGGCCCCTGACCCCCACTCGTCTCCCTTCAGTAGCCCCAGACAACCCCAGACCCCAGGGAGACTCTAGGCTTCCATTATGAAAGTTGTCACCTGCTGTAGCCACAAAAGCTCCCACCTCATGGCTCCATCCACCTCCTGGGTGGCTCCCCCAGGCCTCCCCACAGAGGGGGCCACAGTGGCCTGAGCACCTCTCCCCAGTCCAGGTCCCCAGCCTGGGGGCTGCCCCGCCTCACTGTGCCTAGTCAGAGGCCAGAGCATCAGTCTTCCCTCCTGCCCCTAACAACCCAGCCCATCCTCCCAGCTCTTTCTAAAACGCAAATCCGGGCTGGGCGCGGTGGCTCACGCCTGTAATCCCAGCACTCTGGGAGGCCGGGGAGGGAGGATCGCTTGAGCCCAGGAGTTGGAGACTGTGGTGAGCTATGATGATGCCACTGCACTCCAGCCTGGGCAACAGAGTGAGACCTTGTCTCAATAAATAAATAAATAAATAAACAAACAAACAAATAAATAAGACACAAATCTGACCATGGCTCTCCCTGCTCCCAATCCGGCCATGGCTCCCTACGGCCCCAGCCCTGTACCACGGCCCCTGCTGCCTTGCCAAGCTTCATCCTTTATCACGTCTTTGCTCCCTAAACTCAAGTACCAAGTTCATTTCAGACCTTCCGTGAACCAGTCTGACCTCTGAGCCTTTGTATAGGCTGTTCCCTCTTCCAGAAACACCATTCCCTGCTCCCAATCACCTTCCTCATTCTGCCCACCCCTGCAGATCACCTTTTGCTCCTCTGGAAGCTTCCCTGACTGCTTCCAGCTCAGGGCGGGACAAGCATCTGCTTTGGGCTCTGCGGCTGCCTAAGCAGTCCCCCACGGGGGGTCACATTGTGACTACCTGGCCACATGCCCGCCTTCCCCATGGGACTGTGAGTCCAGAGAGGGTGGGGATCGGATCTGCCTTGGTCACCGTGCGTCCCTAGTGCCCAACACCAGGCTGGGCACACAGCAGGTGCTCCGCGAACACTTGCCGAGTGAATGCATCTTAGCGTGGCTGGGGAGACTGAGGCACGGAGAGGGAAGAACTTGCTCTAGGGGGTCCCACCTTCACGAAGTCTGTGGCAGGGCACCGAGGGCTTCCCGAGAGCCCTGGGTTGGCTATTGGTGTCGCATCTTTAATGCCCCCACAGCCTGGACTGAGTTGTCCGGATGCCCGACTGCGGCTGACCTGGAGCAAGGAGGTGACAGGCAGGTGGGCTGGGGACAGAGCCGCTGGCTCCCGGTCCAGCCACCAGCTCCCTCCTCTCTCTCATTCTTCCTGCTTCTGTCTCGACATTTGTTTTTTGTTTGCTTTCTATATTTCCTTTTCTGTGTCCCCCTCCTTCGGTCCCCCCAGTCCCCCACCCCCTTCCCTCCGTCCACCCTCTCGGCCGGATGGGGGTGGCAGCGGCAGGCAGGTGCCGCCCCGGGCTCGGTGCCCGACGCTGCCGCGGCCGCCCCGGATTTGTGGCTGCGACTCCTTTATCTGCGGCTGCAGCTGCCCCTTATCTCGAGGCTTCAGGACACGAGCCCGGGATTAGGGCAGCCGGGGCCAAGGACGCGAGACGGCCAGGCGGGCAGCGGCCTGCCCGGGGGAGCCGGCGCCAGCGCGTGTCGCGAGTGTGCCTGCGAGCGTGCGCGGCGGAAGCTGCTGAGGGTGTGTGACGGGTGTGTGCGTGCGTGTCTGTGTGTGCGTGTGCAACGTGAGCGTGTGTCCGTGTCTACCGGGCTATGCGCGTGCAGGAGGGAGGCACCGTGTGTACATATTGGTGGCTGTGGCCTGGTTGTCACTCCGTGCATGTGTGTGTGTGTGTGCACGAGTGTGCGTGTCCCTGGGAGTCCCTGCCCCACCCCACAGCTGCCTGCACAACCCCGACCCAGATCCTTGCCCGCACAACCTCGCCCCCAGGCCCCCGCCCGCCCTGCACACCCTGGCTTCCCTGCGGGCTTGATGGCTTTCCCACCTTGCTGGCCCAAGGCCTCCAGGGACGGGGCCCTTAACCTGCGACCTGTGGCTGTAAATGGCTCTGCGGGGACCACCGCCAGCCGTTTTTACCATCCTGGCCTGGAGCGGACCAGCCCCTTCCTGCCGCCCACAGGCCCCGTGGGCCCCATCTCAGCCTGGCCGGCCCCCCCTCCGGCTCCCGGGGCCCTTCCTGCGGCCCAGCCTGACCACACGGAGCCACGCGTGTGTCCAGCTCCGTGTCCCCCACCGGAGCTGGGACCTCTGTCTCTGCTCAGCCCGGCTTGGGATGGGAGTGACCGCGTGCCATCCATCAGTAGCCCCCAAGCCTAGTGTGGAGGAGCCTCTGGGTTTCCCCGTGACCTGGGCGGGTCCCTTCACTCGCCCATGGGAGAATGACACCCATCAGGAACAACGTGTGCACAGTGCCGGGCACAGGGTCAGCGTGGGAGCCATTTCCCAGAGGGGGAAACTGAGGCCCAGTGAGGTCAGTCAGCAGCACATTGGGGGCTGGGGGCAGTGCGCAGCGTGTAGAGATGGCCCCCGGGGACACAGTGGGCACCCGGCCACCTCCACCCCCACAGGGCTGGTCCCTGGGGGTCCCGAGCTGCAGCCCCGGGCCCGCTGGACCTGGACCAACTCCTGGCGCTAAGATGGAAACTTCTCCACCAGCCAAGTCCGAGTCTTGGCCAGCGGCTGCTGGCCTCCAGGAACCTCTGCCTCAGGCTCCACCCGAGGAAAAGGACGCTCCCCTGGGAGCAGCGGCCTCCCGGGGAGGGCAGGGGCC